AAAAGCCTTTTGCCCCCATGCATAGGATTTTTATGTGATCACTGACGCATGCCACAAGCCCAAAATTTATGTAAACTAGGGGAGATGTGCCAGCCCAGGTCTATTAACATTTGCTATGCCATTATGCAGCAAACCGAAGTCATCGCAGCAGTTCTCTGGCACCTGGTTCCCTGCCGGTTGATGAACTTTCATCCCCGCTGGGTATACAGGTCATGAGAATGGCTGCCGTGTCATCTTCGTCTTTCTGGTCCGTTGTTGTGAGGCGCCCTCTCCGCCTCCGGTCTTCTTGACTCTGTCTTGACATCGGCTGCAGGTGGAGAAGGAGGAGAAGGCAGTGCGGTAGATGCTGCGCAAGTCTACACTCACTATGAACTAATTCACGCGCAAGTCACCGTGCCTGCTCCACCTTGCTGTTGAGCACACGGTGGACACCGTCGGCAACAACGGTCGAATGCTTCTGTACAAATCATATTCCAGAGTCAGGCTTGAGCGCGCTGTAGACGACTTTCGAATCGCTGGTCATTTGTCGATCCTACTCGAAAATTTAATTATGGATGAATTAATTATGGATGATATCAACTGGCATCCTCGTTACTAGAGCCGATGTGCTGCAATAAGGCGGAAACACGGTCGGCACAAATTATCTAAGAAGCTCCTTCTTCCGTTTTACCGTCTCCCATCACGACAGATCCTTCTCTTTCTGACCCATTTTTGTTGCTGGTTAAAATCCTGGTCAAGTGTTTGTTATGGACCAGGGGGTGTGATGGTACGCCTAGGAACGGGTCCTTCCGCGTCAGCCACCCACGCAGTTTAACGCCTCCGGTCTTCTTGACTCTGTCTTGACACCGGGTCCAGGTGCGGTAGGACGAGAGGGAGTTCGGTCTACTCTCACTATAAACTAATTCACGCGCAATTCACTGTAACTGCATCGCTTTCCTGTCGAGCACACGGTGGATATCGTGGAGCACGACGGTCGAAATATAAGATGTTTGTTAGCCAAAAGTCGGAAATATTTTTGATTGGCAAACATTTCTCAAGTAAGGTTGTAATATCGATTGTCGTACAGCATAATCCCAGGATATTTGAGTCACGTCGGGATGCCGGTTTTTGAGAGAGTCTCTTTAGGGCCGCTGGCAAAACCTTCATTTTGCAAACAGGGACTACTTATGTAGTATGTAGTTTTCTAATTGACTTCCCATTCCCTTTTAAATGCAAATATTTTTACAGAAAAATTCTCAAAAAATATTTCTTATCGTACTCTTGTGGCAGCAAATTACTCCTTCAAAACGCATACTTGAAGGAAGGGTATTTTTCGTTTTAAAAGTTTCTAATTATGTGATTTTATGAGACCGTGAAATGTCCACTCATGAAGCCCTCAATGATAAAGGGATCCGGGTTCGAATCCTGGGCTACTTACGCATGAGGTTGGATAGGGCTGGCCGATGATGGCTGGAAAGGCAGAAGTGGCCACCGCAGTCACTCTTCTCTTTGCCAGTATTCCCATTCGTTGGGCATCCATTTTTCTCTTCAAGACAATTCAGATATATGATCTCAACTAATGAAATCTTCAAACCATAATTAATAAAAAAAGACTTTCTCGAACGCCGGAACTGTCAACGTTGTAGGAGGCCATGCTGCCGTAAGGAATGAGTTTTATGCAGGTCACGTTGCTTAGTCTGAAAGTAACTCATTGATCACTTTGTTAGATGACTTTGGTGAGGTCGTTGACTCCTAATTCGTGCTGCCAAATTTCGATAGTACCGAAGATCTTGGGCCCGCTGATGATTTTCATAATCCTCCTACCTCTTTTTGTCCTTACCCCCCCCCTCCTGCTTGCTTTTCCTCAAAACGTCCGCATTTGCCATCACAATTGCACTAACTATAGCGTTTACTTCAGCCCTGACCTTAAATCGTTCATCGGTTAGGGTGCTGATGTCTGGTTCTAGCATAAAGCAAAAGAATCGGGCAGCGATTTGCAGATAATATGGTTATGTACCAAACTACCAATATTTTACATCGTCGTGCGATCGACTCTTGGTGATGGTGTAGTCGGCTACACCAGAGAGCTCCACTTTTTCCAATGTCTTGGCGTGTTCCTTCGTGCATGCTTGCAATTGCTACTTGTCTATCTGAAACTACTGATTTGGTGAGACATAAGGCAATCCTGATAGGCACTGTCAGACGTTACGTCATCACTCACGGGATAAGAAGATTTCTTGGACGACCTGCCTTTAGGAAAACAGTCAAACATCTGTTATCCCGTTGGTGAAGTGGGTCTAGAGACTATTGACGAAGTAGAGGATGGTTCAGATTGCGGAGTGTTACAACCCAAGTTATCCGATCGTTGTCAAATAGGCAAGGGAAGTGCTTGAGTGTTGGCACCATTTAAAACGCCGTAAAATCCTACGCTGGGATGTCACATAACTATGTTGAAGCAGGTGACACAATTGCTGGGACAAGAGCTTTATTAGCCTGACGTTTCGGATTCCTTGATGGGTTCGAGTAACAATTCGAAACGTCGGGCTAATAAAGCTCTTGTCCCAGCGATCGTGTCTACTTCTTCAAGACTACTTCCTGGGACTCGTCTCTTCTATTGGCAACATAACTATGTAACTATTTGGGCGTTCTTTTATGCTTTTAGAAGTCCACAACCTGCCGAACGAGCACTAGGTCTCTTCCCTTAGCCTTCATTCGGCGTAACTAAGTCGGATTCCAGAAGATGCACCCGGGCGTACCGATATGGCCCTGCGCCAAATTTCAAAAATATACCTATGCCCGTGCCACAGCCTTCAACTTATCTCTAGTACTAACCCTCGACACAACACGACCTTTCGACCGTCGATTCCGACGGCGTCCACCGGGTGCCCAGTAGTAGGGTGGGTGTAGGGACGACGACTTGCGCGTGGATTAGTTTATTGTGGTAGTGACCTTTTGCGGCTTCTACCGCAATCTCTCCTCCTCCTCAACACCCCCCCCTTCCACCTGAGTACGGTGTCATGACAGAATCAAGACGACCGGAGGCGGTAGGGGGTGCAGATGACTGGCGCCACGAAAAGCCACACTCAAACAAGCGCCACCACAACGGTTCATATCTCACTGAGTGGGGGTGTCGTTGCAGTCTGACTCTCAGTTCACCCAGTCAACTATTCATCCCAGAAACACAAAAATGAGCTGTCTGTGTGGTCTGAGTTGAAAGGTCGGTTGCAGACCTTCAAGCCACGACTTTTAACGCATCATGATATAGACAAGGTGGTGCCGACAAAGACAAGGGAGACCGGAATGGCCATTTCTGGCTTATTAGTCGTCATGAGCCACTCATACCCAACCTCAAGTGTGGACCCCTTGAGATTCGATCCCGGGATCTTCGGTCATGGAGTTTGATACACTACCACTGAGCCACGGACCCGTTGTCCTGTCGGTTGTGATCGCGAATATCAATTATGACATCAATTATGAATAGCAATTATGCACCACGCCAACTACGTCTGCTACTAGCCGCTGTGCGACTGCCTACGATGGTTTTAATGTGAGCGCCAAGGCACAACGAAACGAACATATTCCGTAACCTAATCGGTGAGCGCGCACCCTGATATATTCAAGCACGCCAGGTTGTTTATAATGAGGAGTATGCACCGAGTAGTCAAAGTCGCTCACTCTACCCTATCCAATGCTCTAGTCGACCGCCTGAACCGGTCAATAAACTAACGCAGAGATTGCGTGAGAACGGATTGTCTGCACGTGACACACAAACAAGCAGAGCCCCCACGAGCACACGTCATGATTTCACACACAAGGGGACAGACACAGAGACTGAAAGGTCTGCAAGCTCCGCGCGAGACGGTCTCCGTGGAGACCCGCTGATGCCAACTGCGAGATGCCCTCAATTCTATCGCCCTGGATGCCCTAGGACGCGCGCGTCGTCTTCACCAGTACTGGTTTGACGACAACGACGCAGATATCAACAACCTGCTCGCCGATAAGAACCGACTGCACGAAGCCCACCTTGACCATAGGACCAACGTAAACAAAGTGGACCACAACAGATGACGCCGCCTCGTAGAGTAACGACTGTGGGAAATGTAGGACGTCCAGATGACTCGAAGGGTCGGGAAGATCCCAGGATATGCAGACTGAAATTGTACAAAGAACGTCTTCGCGTAAATCAAGACAGTCTACACCCCCAATACGGACCCACTGAGTTGGGCGCTAACTCTCCAGTAGGAAAACACCGGAACCTGACGCGATCTCGGCCGAAGTCTAAAAGTACGACGGCCCCCAAATGATGGACAAACTTACAGCGCTCTCCAAGGAGATTTGGCCCCATGGACAAGTTCATCAGGACTTCAAAAATGCAGATATCGTCTACAAATTGGAAGGGGACCGGCAACTCTCTGATAATCGCAAAGGAATCTCGATGTTAAACATCGCCAGAAAGATCTGCGCTCGCATTGTTCTTCACCGCCCCAAAGGCTCTCAAGTATACTGACTTCTCCTGAATGCCTAGTGTAGCTTCCTTCGCCACCGCGGGACCACTGGTAGGATCGTCGCCGCCCGCCAGCTGCAAGAGAAATGCCAGGAAATTCGGCCCCATCTCTACCTTCGTGGATATGACGAAAGTCTTTGTCGCGGTGAGTCACGATGGACTATGGGAAAGCATATAGAAATTCACCTATCCTGTGCGATTCCTGAACACCATGCGTCATCTCCACGACGGGATGATGGCTCGCGTCACGGACAATGGGACAGCTTCAGAGGCATTTACAGTGACCAGCGGAATTAATCATACGTACTCGCCCCGAACCTCTATGGTTTCATGTTTTCTGTCATATTGATGGGATGCGTGCCTTGGGATCCGCATCGCTTACGGGATCGACGGCTGTCTTCCCAATACCCGGTGCATGCAAGTACCAACGCGTCTGTCCATGACTACTGTCCACGACTCGCTCTTCACGGACGGTTGGCCACCCATCGCCGTAGCAGAAGCGGACATGAAATGAAGAATGTACCCCTCCGCCCCCGAACACATCGACCTGGAGCTGACCACCAGCATGGACAAAACGCTCGTCATGCATCAACCGCCGCCCGGCGTTGCATGCCGCGCTCCTTTCATCCATTTTAACGGTACCCAACTAAAAATCGTCGATAACTTCGCAAATTTCGACGGACCACTTTCATGCAGCATCAAAATCAGCAATGAAGCGGCCCACTATATGGTTAGATGTGGTTATGTAGCCCCACCTAAGGTAAGCAAACCATAGCCGCCTGTAATGCAGGACTGATTGTAATAGGGGTTTTTCTAGGTGGGGCCGGGGAACGTACAGGCGACTGCGGATGCGCGGTTGTACTTTGAATTTTTGAAAAATAGTTGCCCTTACCCCTGACCTTAACAACTAACCCTAACCATAGCCCCAACCCTAACACTAGACCTGACCCTTAACCGCAGCCCTAAACCCTGACCCAACAGTATTGTGTCCACCAAGTGGGGCTGCATAACCACATCTTACCCACTATTATATCTCTACAGCCAACTAGGCCTCCAGCCGATTACAAAACTCCGTATGGAATCACTACGACCTCCACTGAACTGAAGATGTTCGAGGCGGTCATCTTCATGACGGTGTTATTTGGTGCAGAGACCTGAGGTGTAGTGGCACACGGCAGAAAATAATTCAGAAACCGTTGTTCCAACCTCCCTCTTCTCTTTGGGAGCAGGGCTTCTGAAGGCTGACTTCACCATGAGGGGTAGTCTTTTGCGCACAAAATGAGGGGCGTTGTGAAAGTTTAATGGTACGATGATAAGCACTGCTGGCTATGTTCAGTAAAAATATCACCAGGTTGGTAACTCAAAATTTAGCCAAATTTTCCTCTTTTTGGTACAATAACCGCAAGTCTTCAAACTCGTTTTGCGAACTGGCCTGGCAATGAACACTTCTACAGCATTAACACGTTTCACGACTTTTCATTGCTTGTGCTTAGATGCAGGCTTATTCATCTGCAGGTAGAAGGCCGAAGGAAAACCTAAAGGTTACAGGCTCTGATACTAATGCACCGAATTCTAGCCAGCCAGGAGGATGGGCTGGCATTTATCAGGAGAAAACCGACGTAACTGGACGTCAATTGCTTCATCCACCGTCCCCCACCCTGCCCACAGTACCATTTTTTAAACGCTCAAGAAGAACTCTGTACAACGAGACCGTCAAAAATGCTATGAAAAATGGTCCAAAAGCATTTCATGCATGCTGTTGCAAGCCTCTAGGAACCGACGTGGACTAATCTGACCTGACTGCGTACCCAAGCATGGGGAGGGTGCAGGTGGTTACGCTTCCGAAGTAATCATTGGCTAATAGTCTAATTCATCAAAAATAACGAGCGGACTATTCGCTACCGTTCTTCGCCGTTGCGGGTACTTCTCTTAATTAGATGCTATATATCCTAAAGGTTTCAAAGCCGGACTGGTTCGTACCTTCCTTTTCCTATTAAAATTTGTTGACAAGAAAAGGTGAATGAGGATCGTTAATTTCAATTAATTGCTTATGAGTAATATGCCACGGCAGGAATAATGTAAACCCAAATGAGAGTGTGTCTAATGAAAAGTGGACCTGTGTTCTTCCAATTTTACAACGAGTGAAATTTGAAATAAGATTATCAACAAAAACAAGAGAGAATGTAATAGCCATTTCTGGGTTACTAGCTGCCATCCGCCAGTCACACCCTACGCTCGGGTCAGGAGTGTCTGAAATTTGAACCGAGTATCTTCGTTCCTTGGGCAGAACGCCTTATCGTTTGAGCCAGGGGATCTTTGTCCTGTCGGTCGTTGTCGTTACCGATCGGATTGCGAAACAAGCTCATCGAAAGGCGGTTAAAGCTAGCGCCTGCGTGTTCGTATCCGAAGAACGCAGACGGAAACGTGGCTGACGCATTCCCTGCCATACATTAAGGACGTTTCAGAGGCAAGCAACCGTGTTAATGCGAGACTAGGTGTTGGAATTCCACACCTGCCCAAGACTAATGTGGGCAGCAGGGTCATGAAAACCCCCGGGCTGATCAAACCCCAAGGAGCAGTCTGATTTATTGTATCGCATCCCATGCATAAGCTGTCCTTCAAACAACATAAGTTGGACTGAACAAATACCTAGATCGGGCATACACGAACATAAACTGTGAGGAGCAGATTACAAGTTGTTATCCTCACCCTCGAACCGGGTCAGGAGTTCAAATTCCCAGCTGCATAGATCATTGTTATGCTGGAAGCAAGGCAGATCAAGAATTGATCGAAACTTGGGCCTCAGATGAGTACTCAACCACTCGGTTTAATGATACTGCGTCGGCATACAGAACCCTATGCGGACACCTCCAGATCTTCAGCACTGGTAATATGCCTTATAATTGTCACCTGAAACGTTGCTGCTGTCATCTCTGACGATGGACTCCTGCACAAGCCGATATGCCTACGTCTTCCTTACTCACATACCCTCTTAATGCGTCCATTTGTAGGTTTCAAATGCAGCAATATATGTCACTTGTGTCACTGAAGCTAAATCCATTTGTTTTCAAAATAATGCTACACTGAGAAAAGCCGATGACCCAGTCATTCTGCTCCGTCTTATCAGGCCAGAAGAATATTCGTTGTACCTGACAATAAACAAATTTTACAAGTTGCTAGGCATTTAGGTGACACCAAGCACAGCTTAGAGGTGGATTGTTGCAGAGAACAACTAAAAAACGTCCCGAGAGCTTCAAGATTCGTGTTATGCAGATTTCAACCTAAGGAATCTTCGGACGAGTCTCCCACGTTCAGCGAAGATACACGGGGACGCGACTGGACAGTTTGCGTTCCGCGGAACCGTCAGCCATACATCGATCTGGGTAATATGGACAGTTTAGTTTATGTCTCCCATCAGAACTAGACCTTTCCAAGGCATCACGAAAGTCTGTCTAGCCAATTTGTCTACATAAGCATTTCCAGCTACCGTTTGGCATCTTCGCGTGGCTATGCTTCCACACTACAGATCACCCGTTTCGGCTGCCTCGTTGGAAATACATGATTTCAGTGACTTTAGCACTACCTCTGACCCCTAAAGAGGAGTGTAAACTTCCATCTGCATGCGTCAATGAAGAAACGGAAAATATAAGTGGTGGAAGATACTCATCAGTAGGGGGAGATGAAGAAGAAGAAGAAGAAGAAGAAGAAGAATAGGGAGTAGTAGTAGTAGTAGTAGTAGTAGGAGGAGGAGGAGGAGGAGGAGGAGGAGGAGGAGGAGGAGGCGGCGGAGGAGGAGGAAGTAAAAGTAGGACGTGCGGGCACGAAACTTGTGTCCTGTCGAGCATGCTAGTAGGCTCGCATTTTGAATTTATCACGCCTCCCGCAGGCGGTTTTCTCGGGTGCCCACTCAGAGCGAGGACTGACAACGAACAAAAACAGCGAAAAGTTGAAGATAATTTAGTCAGAGTGTACCTCATCCAGGACAGATGGCTGCCTACTCTAAGCTGGGGGACAACGGACACTCATTTTGCTACAAAAAGGTACGTTAGCTTGGATGAGGCTGAATGATTTAGGACTACACTTTGCAGAAGAGCGACGATTAGCAGGTGAGTTGAAGTCGCTAGTGATGCATGCCCACGACTTCTCCAAGAAACTTCCCAGTCTGCGAGGATTTGTCAAATAGCCACCGGACATCTATCTGCGCAAATAATTGAATACGCAGGCACATGGTAGAATGCGCTTACTCTAACATGACGCTCTCGGATTCCCAAAAGTGCTTAGGTGAAAGGGAGGCGAAATGTGTCAAAATAATATCAAGTCCAATTGTCCACACATAAGTCAGCACACCCCCTTGTTCTTTTGCCTGAAAGACATTTCTACTGCTCATGACTTTGCCTAAAAGTACTTTGGAGTCGGTATTCCGATTTACGTATCATTGACCCAGGGTGACAATCAAGAATATTCAATATCGTGTGAATTTCATTCACCAATCCGAATACGGGACGTGCATAAGAGTTTTGACTTCCAGTATTTCAATGTGACAAATAAAGTTACTGCGATCAAATCCGATCTCAAATGTCTTCTTAACACTCTATTTCAGTAAACTCGTGCACCTGCAAAAAACATGCTCTCCCCGGCCGAATAAAGCTGTGGGATTCAGAGAAAGAGTGAGGTTTGACACGTTCAGAGAGTAGAGTGCTTCGGTAGATCATTTTTTGAGGATCCCGACTCTCTCAGCGGGTGACCAAAAGGTGCAACCAGAAACACTTAGAATGGCAAAGTTTACAACTAAGTGTTTTCGGATCATCGCAAAAACAATATTTCTTCCGTCCAGCATGCTTTCCTTGCAAATTCCTCAAATTCTCCCTTAAACTTCCCCACAAGTGTTTCTGACAACAGTGTGATTTTCAAAAGCCTGCTTTTCCGTCGCATGTTCAGTAAAGTACTCCCTCGAGGGTTCTCTCTGGTGCCAATGAACTTCGCTGAGGAAGGCAAAAATACGTAGTCCATGTATGGGACGAAGAAGGAGACGCGATCGCTGAAACGGATTCTTGCTCGAGTCCATTGTCAAAAACAGAGTCAGATAATGGTAATAAACTATCCAGATGTTGCAGAAAGGACCAAGTCCTTGAAACTATTGTCTAATATGTCATTTAGCTTGCTGAGTCCCAGGTAGACCATGGTTTACAGAGAGCGAGGAGGGATTCCTAATGGCTGTAACAAATATCTTATTAGAAAGGTCAGCTTTACAAACACATCTTTTCGGCAACTCATCATCATGGCCATACAGTTGCACATAAACTGAAAATATAACACGTTCACAGGGTTTACAAGTGTTTAGAGGCCTGCGCCAACGGGTGCTAGCTACAACCGAGGCGGTGTCAATACGTGTAGCGAATCCACTGCCATGTTGCCAAAAGACGTTGACGCAGGTGCTGTGCCTTCCGTGGCCAGCGCCCACCCTAGAGGATTATCACATCCCACCCAAACCCCCTAATGACAGTGATTTGTACGCCATGTACCGAGCCTACAAACACCACTCCAGGCCGATACCACCCTCTTGCCCCAAGAACCTCAACACGCCATCCTCGTCACACGAATACCGTGGGAACGATGGGTGTTAATAACCCCCGAGACACTTATAAATCCTGTAAATGTCTCATATTTTCAATTCCTATGTAACTGTATTGACCTCGTGATGAATTACCGAAAACATGTTTTGCCAACTTGACTTTTCAAGTATGACACTGGAATATTCGCAAGTATCTTACTGGTTTGAGCCTTCAGACGCGCACAGGTGTACTTCATCAGACGAATGGAAAACAGGCGAGTAGTATGTACTGCCTCTTCCAATCGGTCAGCGTCCGGTATAGGCCGGCACGGGTGCTAGGCCAAAACCTAAGCACCTTTTTCGCCAATTTTATGCGGCTTTATAGCTCAGCTGAGAGCGTTTTGGCTTGCTAGCAGAAACGAAGACGCGAGTTCCAAGAAATAGTCGCGGATAAGGAGACACGATCGCTGGAAAAGTGCTTTATTAGCCTGACGTTTCGGAATCTCACTCCTGTCAATTGTCAGAGACAGAGTCAGATAAGGGTGATAAACTACCCAGATGTTGCAGTATTTATAGAATGTTGTTGCAAGACAGCTATATACCTATCGCAGTTGGCAACTCCCGAGTGCCTATCGGCTCGGCTGGCCGGTCGGCCTATCAGCTACATTCTAAAATGCTGCAAGACCTGAACAATTTACCACCCCTATCTGACTCTATCTCTAATGGTGGATTCGAGTGAGAACCCGAAAAGTCAGGTAAATAAAATTCGTGTTCCAGCGATCGTGTCTCCTTGTTTACGACTACTTCATGGAACTCGTCTCTTCGCTTCAAATAGCATGTATGGGACGTCTTCTGAGCTGCAGCCTGGTCGTCACTCGACGCTACCACGACACCTTAGAGTAGTTTTGCCAAATGGATGTTTGTCTGAGTTACCCACCCCCCCCCCCCGGTTCACTTCGAGGAGTTCAATTTCTTGCAGTTGTTGAAAGCAGGTTGTTCGTCGTCCATCATCAAAATGCAACCGCAATCAATCAAAGAATGTGGATAAAAAAGCTGACCAAAATCCGTCGAGCAAATGTGTTTTTTTTTTTATCCGTAACCATTCAACCGTTGTAATTGTAATTACTAAACGAAAGCTGTAACGCCAGACCGAGTATTTCGGTCTGTGCTGTTGGAAGACCAAGGAGTCTAACCGGTTACGGACTCAAAAATTGAAGTTCCCATTGGCGTGCCTTTCGCCAGCCCGCACAACGCTCGGTCAAACTGGAAGTACGTTTTGCAACAGAAAATGGGGAGTTGGTGATCCATCGTTTAATCATATTTGCCATACAGAAGTAACTGGATGATCTTGACAGACAGGTCATAGTGATAGAGATAGAGAAAAACGTTACCTTGTTTGGCAGAAAATCAACGTACATAAGTTGGTCGAAGAATATTGATGACCAGCGGACTGCGGTGTCTGAATCAGCAGTCGGAAAGGTGATTTCTCGGAGCAACCGATTTGTAGTCCGCAATTTGGAGTGCCAAAAGAGAACACCATCTTTATGCACCGTGAGACGCCAAGGCCGTTTATTAGGAGCTTACTATACGTCATTCGGTCAAAATTACAGAATCTCATTTTCCCTCAGTCAGCATTTCCACGTCATTTTCACGTCGGCATTTTTACAGAGTTTGGTTCACAGGAGTAAATACACTAAGCTTCTAACCTTCCCCAGGTAACCCGCCCTATGGAATGCTATTTCGGAACACTCCGTTTCCGAGTTCCCGACATGCAGGTCGTCATTGACTGCTCCAGCCCCTGCACCCAATCCAATCACCCGTTGACTGACAGACTCGGACAGTGCACTGTAGGGTAGCGTGAAACCGGCAAAGCGAATCCAGCTTCTATCAGCAAAGAGAGTCCATACCCACGGCAAATCATTGCAAAAAATCCTACGGGCCTTAATGTGTCAAAAGTCATTAAGAGCCCTGGTCTGGAATGTTGCGCACTGAAGGGATGATCGGACCCAAGGGAGAATTTTGGAGTGATTTGGGGACCGCGTGTCAGGCTTCAGTGTCTCCCACCTAATGCAGTCTCTATGGCACTGTGACTGATGCGAACCCCGAGCCGTCCATATGAAGGCCTCGCACATGCTGTGGGGACCGGATCGTGTGTGGCACGCGTAGACGGGTTGTTTAACTTTGTCATTCACCGCGCCCGCGCCCACCTCCGGTCTACTTAAAATTATCCCGTCATCAGATTATGGTGGGTGACAGAGGAAAGAGAAAGAGAAAGTAGGCTTTACTAGAAGTCAACTTGCACACAATTCACCGATGCTTCACCCACCTCGTTGTGGAGTCCAACAGTCAAACATGCCATTCAATCTTTTCAGAGGGAACAATGAGCCGCACATCTCATAGGGCCGCATAAGAACGTTCCTCGCACTGTCCAATATGAAACCTATCGGACAGGTATGAAGTCTCCGGTTGTGCACTTGTCCACTCCTCTCATGCTCAAAGTTATGAGGTCAAACTGTGAAAAATATCATCATCTGTGCTCCATCAGTGTCACTGACAGCTCTGATCGACTTGGACGTTTGAGCCGAAGATTCGCGCGCTGCTGCGAACCGGTGTTAGCAGGAAATGTCCTCTTGCGTCTTCGTGGTGCAGTATCAAACGCGCCAGATTAATTACAGTGAGGAATACACCCTCTCTTTGCCCTCTCCTGTGTGGCGTGACCTGTTCGAGCGCTTCGTCTAGCGTCCGATGAGATCGGACTGACGGAGCGTAAGACTCACGCTAACGTTTGTCACAATTATTAAAGGATTTACATAGTTTGAGCGCAGTTTTACTAGAAGGTATCATTAGTTGGTTTGGCCATCATATCAGCTCAAGGCAGCAGCAACCCTCTCAGAGTATGCGAATGCTAGGGACTGACTAACGGATACGCCCAAAAAAGAAAAAGATGATTCTTCGCCCATTTGCATATGGCTTCATGTGCTGGAGAAGCGGGGCTCCTTATTCGAATGGTTCATCCCTACAGCACATCTGCATTTTCTGGTGTCAGGTACTCCTAGATCCTATGGCCTTGACTGGCCCACTAGCTAAGCAGACACTTGCAATTCATGTTGACCCAACTGTGAAAAACTCGCCGTCTCGGTAGGATTTGGACTCATGACAACAAGTGGAGGCTCTAGTACAGCCAACGCTCTAGCCACCTGAGGTTAATCACATTTGGGTCCAGTTACCCACCAACTCATGTCTCCCAGGGAGGGCTCGTATCCCAGATGGTTGGAGCATTGGCTGTAATAAGACCTCTTCTTACTAACCTGGGTTCGTCCCCAACCAAGGCGCCGAGTTTTTCACAGTTGGGTCAGAACGAGTTATTAAAACACTGCCAAAACAACTATTCACTTTCATACTCACTTCTCCTTTTGTTGTATCAAAACAGTGGACAGTACGCACACAACAGGCGCTTAGTTCTGCGCATCTTTCGTTCCTTCTTGAGCAGCTCTTTTCCCCCGCATATCTTCCATCTATTGAAAATCTGAAGAAGATGGTATCGCTGGGGTAGGACGTTGTTGGCCTAACGATTCGGATTCTCCCTCGAACCCACCGTAAGAGCCAATGTTAGAACACTCTGGTAGAGGCATAATGGGCGCATTATTCATAGGGCACATTGACCCGACAAGCACATGCCTACTACAATTAGCAGCACTCGCTTTCACCTCTGGGAGTCATATATGGTACGAATATTTCTTGCTTTTGCGCACACGAGTCGCCAATTGCCGTGATTTCATCACCGTTGTTGATCCTTGGCGTGATGGTTACTCAGTGCTTTGACTCACTGCCATCGGAACTGCTGCTGCTGCTGCTGCTGCTGCTGTTGCTGATGATGATGATGATGATGATGATGATGACGACGACGACGACGACGACGACGACGACAGGCATGTGGGGGATGATGATGATGATGAGGAGGAGGAGGAGGAGGAGGAGGATGATGCTGATGATGATGATGACGATGATGACGACGACGACGATGACGACGACGGGCATGTGGGGGATGATGATGATGATGATGATGATGATGATGATGATGATGATGATGATGATGATGATGATGATGATGATGATGATGATGATGATGATGATGATGATGATGATGATGATGATGATGATGATGATGATGATGATGATGATGATGAAAAAGAAGAAGAAGAAGAAGAAAATGATAATAATAATAATTTTGAAGAAGAAGACACGATCGCCGGGACAAGAGCTTTATTAGCCTGACGTTTCGGATTCCTGCTCGAACCCATCATCAGAGGCAGTATCAGCATCATCATTTTAATAATAATTATTATTATTATTATTGCCAATAGAAGCGAAAAGACGAGTCCCAGGAAGCAGTCTTGAAGAAGAAGACACGATCGCCGGGACAAGAGCTTTATTAGCCTGACGTTTCGGATTCCTGCTCGAATCCATCATCAGAGACATAAGCAGATAAGGGTGGTTCATGCACATGTGGCTGTAGTATTTATAGGATGCCGTAGCCATGCCACCGCATACCTATGAATGTTCACGGCTCCCTCCCCTTCATCAGGGATCGTTGCACGTGGCGTGATGGTCGATATTCGCGTCATTAATTGCTGCAATTTCATCACATGCGTTGGATGTTGGTATGATGATTGCTCGACCATCTGACACGCTGACCCGGGTGTTGGGAAGAGTGTTCATCAGGGCGCTCCCCGCGTGGCCAATTTCTCCGCCTAGACGAAGTCTCAGCACGCTGTATTGAATGGGAAGATCATTGCACTTGTTAATAGACTGGGGGCCAGTGAACCATGACTCAAGCAGCTCCCGGCTCACGCGGTTGTCACCTCTTGCGAGAATTTCGGCCTCGTCAAATTTGAATGTGTGGCCGGAACCCGTCGAATGAGCCGCAAATTGAGAGCTGGCGTCATTTCTCAGCACTGCTGCAGCGTGTTCGGCCATTCTCGTTCGGAGCTGTCTTCCGGTTTCTCCGACGTAGTTGCTTTGTCCGCAACTGCACCAGATCCGATAAACGACTCCAGACGTTTCTTGCCGTGGCAGTGGGTCTTTTGGTTTCATCAGTTGACGCCTGATGGTTGCCTCTGGCCTGTGTGCAACTCCAACCCCCAGCGGTGCGAGAAGGCGGCCAACAGCTTCCGAAACGTTCTTGACATATGGAAGCGTTCGCCAAACTTTGGTGTCCCTGCGGTTAGGCCTTTCGTCCATTTTGCGTATGCACCGGTTGACAAAGTTGCTCGGGTAGCCATTGGCTTTGAATACCCGTCGGAGGTATTGTAGTTCAGCAATTTTGTCTTCCGGCTCACTGCAGTGCGTTTCAACACGCCGAAAGAGCGTCCTTACACAACTGCGTTTGTGGCTGATTGGGTGGTTACTGTTGAAGTTCAGTACTTGCATCGTATTTGTCGCTTTCCTGAACACTTTGGTTTTTAGTCCACCACAATCCTTGCGGCATACGAGGACATCCAGGAAGGCCAGCTGGTTGTTCTCTTCCTCCTCCATCGTAAATTGTATGTCCGGGAAGACCGCATTCAGACGTTCCTTGAATGTCAGCAGTTGATCCCGATCGATAACGACGAAGGTATCATCCACATACCGGGCCCAGAACGTCGGTTTGTGGTGTTGGAAGACCAGCGACTCTAACCGTTGCAGGACCGCCTCGGCGATGAATCCCGAAATCGGCGAACCCATTGGTGTGCCCTTCACCTGTTCGTAGATGGTCGAGCAATCATCACACCAACATCCAACGCATGTAATGAAATTGCAGCAATTAACGACGCGAATATCGACCATCACGCCACGTGCAACGATCCCTGATGAAGGGGAGGGAGCCGTGAACATTCATAGGTATGCGGTGGCATGGCTACGGCATCCTATAAATACTACAGCCACATGTGCATCAACCACCCTTATCTGCTTATGTCTCTGATGATGGATTCGAGCAGGAATCCGAAACGTCAGGCTAATAAAGCTCTTGTCCCGGCGATCGTGTCTTCTTCTTCAAGACTGCTTCCTGGGACTCGTCTTTTCGCTTCTATTGGCAATAATAATAATAATTATTATTATTAAAATGATGATGCTGATACTGCCTCTGATGATGGGTTCGAGCAGGAATCTGGAATATGCTCTGAATCTCGGGAAAGGTCTTTGCTGTATGTTTTGACTTAGACGATTTATTGGTATGCAGGCGCAGATTTCGGCAGTTATATTGAGAAGGGGGAGTCCCTGGTGGTTGTTGTAATGTCCCCAGGTTCCACTGAAAGTGTTTGACAAGACTTTCTTTGCAGGGAGACGGTGCGTTATACAGGAGTCTCCTTCTGAGTAAGTTGGGTGGGGGGCTTTCTCGCAAACTGGAGGCGCAGTCAGTGACCCATTTCACGTAATGATAACCGAAATCCTGAAATGCGTTCTTAACTGGAAAGGATTAATATGGTAGTGTGATAATATTAACTGCATCGCGACGTAACCGTACGATATTTCAGATACGCCAGGGTGTGGGCTTTTGAATGCATTTGTTTTCGACCGCCAGAGGAAACCACGCATGGCAAAACAGATTACTCAATTGGTACGCATTCTCTTTATAGATTTTTCTTATGCCCTTATAAATTTCAAAAATGCATTCTATACAACCTCCATGAGCATATTGTTTTCTGTACTCATCTTGTAGCAAATCGTTTCTTCTTTAAATGTTATACTCAATGAAAGACTGTCGTCCGTTTTTTAAAAAGATTCAAGTTGTGAGATTTTTTAAGACCGTTCAAGGTCCATTCGAGTAGTATTCTATCTGTCTGTTTAATAATGTTCCCCGCTAAGCATGCACCATAATCCACACCCGCCGCAACACCTTATGAGCCCCATATGGTGCTTTCTTAATGAGATAAAGGCACATGGATTCTCTTTTGTCTAGAAGGTGTACGGCTTGTAGACTGAAAATCCCAGATAAAAATGCCACGGCAAGTTGAGTTCATAACTATCTCGGAGCCTATTTGTCATCTTTGAATTAGTTCTAAAGTTGCAGGCCTGCAAAAACAACGTTATTCTCGGTGATTGACGTGGATTTCTGCAATCATTGCCAGCTGTGTTTCACCTCATCCAGCTGGTGAGTTCCTGGCGAAACTCAGTCCCGTTGTTGCCTGATTCCCTGGGGTCATCTCATCGGTTAGATCGGCCAACCTCATTTTCAAGGCGGGAAGGCCATAGACTTACCGGCTTTTAGCACCGCACTCCATCTTCGTCACGGGCACGCCACACTGATCGCGCTTTCTGACGAACAAATAGCCCAGCGGTCGTTACTGACAGGATAGAAGGTGCGTACATTTACTGTTTTCTTGTGGTTGAGAAGTGACAATACATAGTGTTGGCGAAGAGGCAGTTGCGTTCTGTGTGGGTTCCCAGCGAAAGGAGTTCCTTAAAGTTGCATTGACCTACTCCGTGCAGGCCAATTAAAACATCCCAAGTATCATGTTATCTGCTCACTCTAACATCGGGATCAACATCAACAACCGGTTCAGTCAATTTCGGACTCGGTTAATTCGAATTTGTCCTGCGGATTGGAAGCCTCATCAAACCGATGCGGTCGTCGCTTCCATTGGTGAGAGGTTTCTTCCCTGACACGTCGGTTCTGAGGCAAAGACAACTCCAGTATCATGGCAATGGACCAAAAAGGTATTGAGGCTTTTATCGACCGTGATGTAATGACTGTACAGATCAGAATTTTGCGGAGCCACAGATGGAGGGAGAGAGCAAGTTGGGGGCAAAGCTGCGCGGGTACACTCTATTCCCTTATACCACCCACAATTTTCTAAAAACAAGACAATGTCACGACGACCTAGAGTTAAACGATTCTTTTATGTCTGCCAATCATGACATCATACCTTGTCCTAACATTACCGCCAAACACAAGGACGACGGAAAAGACCATTTATGGCATGTTGGGCGTCGTCATCCAGTCCTACCCAACCCAAAGGAGTGCAGCCCATGGGACTCGATCCCGCGACCTGTTGGCCTCCAACCACTGAGTCACGGGTTCGTCGTACTGTCGGCTGCAATTGGGTATATACTGTGGTAGAGATACAAGCCTGTACTACGAGTTAATCCAAAACGCTTCCTTCCTGAAAACGGATGACCTAAAGATTTCATTCGCATCCACGGGCGAAAACCGCCCTAACAATTCATAAGGAGATATCTGCCTTTATAATGAGACTCGAGTTGTTCTTCATCAACCTTATCTTGGCGATTGCATTAACGCGAGTTACGGATAGATGTATGAAGTCCCCTCCAGGCGGTATATCCTTACTCGAGGTCCCCTGTAACTAACTAGCCAATTATTTTGGCGAATAGTTTGAGGGCAGCGTTACCCAGCTATCAATATGCTCAACCGCACTCTGTAGGGCATCATTGCGGCTACTTTACCCACGTGTCGGAAAACGGACCTTCAGCAAGGTTGGACTAAGTATCCGGTGTGTTTTTGAAAGCCACCTTGGAGCATATGTTTTGCGGGAATTTGTGTTGACGAATGCTTCCACTCCTGAGAGCGCGTATTAGTGTACATTAGTGCTGCGGTAGATAATTGCCGGCCATACCGCACGGGCACGTCTCTCCCCACCTGCACCTCGGCATTTCGACAGTCGTGCCTTACGATGCCCACGGTCTGCTGCACGGCAAAGTGGGGCAGACACGGTGACTTGCGCGTGACTTCTTTCAAAGTGATAGTAGACTTGCGCCGCACACACCGCACTCGTTCCTCCTCCCCAGCTGGCCCGGTGCCAAGACATACTCAAGAAGACCCAAGGGGGGGGGGGGGCGCGGCCGAGCCCGCACCTAGGCGCACCACCACAACCCCTCGTGCACACAACGTATGACCAAGATTTTAACCAGCAGCAGCACCACAACGTGTTAGGACGACAAGAAGGACTGGGTCAGCCATGCTCACGACTTGTGTACCCAGCGGGAGCGCAGGCGCATCTACCGGCAGGCAAGCAGGAGCCATAGGACTGCTAACGCGCACCAGGCTGTGTGGAACAGTGGTTTGTTGATCCTGGCATAGCAGACGCTTGCAGACCTTAAGGTCCAGAAGGGCAACACGTGACCCTGCATTTGCCTGAGCCATCACCCTTCAAGGCAGGATAACCAAACATTCGTCGACAGGGAGGGAATACCCCCATTACCACAGAACGCAAACACGCTCCTCGTCTCCTTCTCCATGTGGCCCCGCTGTTGCATGTGTGATCCGAGTCTGAGACCATCACGATGTTCCAAGCTGACTGACGCATCAACTCAGTCCACGCAGTCTGCCCAGTTGTGTGTTTGAGTGGAGTGGCAGGCTGAAGGGCTGCTATTCGGGCTTCAACGGCTCCTTCCTAAGGTGACCTCTGGCGCTTTCACGCATGTGAGGAGTGTGTGCGCATACGGGCACAGTCGATGACTAGATGGTTATCCGGCTTTTGAAGAGTGTTGGCCCATGCTAAACGCGGGGCTGCGTATCATCCTTCCGGGATTGATGAATTTTGGGCGTATGCAATATAACGCTTAAGTAAACCACGGTCCTTGCAGCCTGGTGTGAGCCGGCAGTTCTCTGGCACCTGGCTCAGGGACTTATGTCATCCTTCCCTTTCTGACCTGGATTAGAAGGCCGCCAACTGACGGGTAACTTGGGCCCGTCAGTCGGTCCGGTATGAGTGTTTATGTGTGTTGGCGGACTGGGGGCCTGAGAGTCAGACTGCAAAGGTTTCTTCATAATGCGACCTCTATAACACTCCTACTCAGTGGTGGCACGCCTAGGGGCACCCCCGGCTATGTCACCCATCGGCCTTGTTTTATGTGTGTGCTGTGGACCAGGGCTATTGATGCAGGTCCAGGTGAGGCGTTAATTTGGGTTTCGAACAGCACCCGCTTTTTCTTCTTTGGTGAATAAAATCCTGGTCAAGGGTTTTCTGTGGACAAGAGGGTGTGGCGGTACGCCGAGGTGTGAGTCCACGCGTGTCAGCTACCTGCGCCCACCCCCGCCTACGGTCTTCTTAACCTTGTCGTGACACGAGACCCAGGTCCAGGAGGGGAGGAGAACAGAGTGCGGTAGATACCATGCAAGTCTCCTGCCACTATAACCTAATCGATGGACAAGTGAACGTACTTGTTCTTGGTCTGCTATGGGGCGCACGGATGACGTCGTCGAAACCCACGGTCGAAATGTCATCATCGCATTGATCGAGGGGGCGCTCACCGATCTCGGTGCGGAACTCACTCCTCCCGTTTGCGTCTTGGGACTCTCTCTCTCTTGACCCCCGCCAGTAGCCGCAAAGCAGAGCGTAGAATGGCAGTGCCCACGAAGACAAGGAAGGTTGGAGTGGCATTTCTGGCTTATTATCCGTCTTCTGCCAGCCATACCCAACTCCAAGGTGTGCAACACATGGGACTCTATCCCGCTACCTGTTGGTTGGAAGTTCAGCGCCTCTAACCACTGAGCCAGGGGCTCGTTGTCCTGTCGGTTTTGATCTGGAGTATACAATGGTGTAGGGGCGCTCACCGATCGTTCATACGGAAGTCACTCGTTCCGTTGTGCCTTACGGGCTCTCACGCGAGCCCAACCAGCAGCCGCGCAGCGGTGCATGATATAGGCAGATATAACTGACAGATTGCGAGTTCGAGCCCCAGGTGTTCAACACTTCGGGTTTCGGTATGACCGGCCGAAGACA